TCTTTCCCTGACGCTGCTCTTCTCCCTCTTTTCCACCGCCTCCTCCTCCGCCCTTCTCATCCTCTTTCCTGTCTCTGTTATTCTGCTCTTCTGCATCTTTCTGTGTGTCTCCCTTTCTCTGTCGCTCCCGGCCGCGCTGTGCACGAAAATACCGCCTTTCGTTAAAGGTGAACGGACGAAATCGCGAGTTACACGTGCGTGCAAGATCCGCAGAGGGTGATGCGTCGGCGGGTGTGCAGGGCAAAGGAAGAGAAAGGGAGACATGCCAGGCCAAGCTAGGCCAAGCCAGGCCGGGCCAGGGGCATGGCTGGTGGTCAGGAAGTGTAGCGAGGGAAAGACGCGCAGTGCCGGGGAGGGACTCGTGCCGGTGGAGGAGACGGGATCGCGGGGGCCAGACGAGAACGGGCGATATCAACGTCTACCTTGCGCGTACACCACCCGCGTACACCTCACACCACCGTCCTGGGTGCCGCCGAAAATCCCCAAAAGCACACGAAACAAAGGACTGGCTGCCCTCCCTCTATCACCCTCCCCGCCCCTCCTCATCCTTTGGTTCTCGCTGAAACCCACACGTAGCACACGTGTGTGTGCACCCACCCACCCAACCCCTCTCCGTGAACAGAGACACACAATGTCGACTTCTCTCTCCTAGTCGAACGTGTTGGTGCTCCCGTTCTTTCTTTCCCTCTCGTGTTTTTTTTTTGCCGAACTGTACCCTGTGTATGCATGTGTGCATATGTGTGTGTGTGTGTGACTCTGGTAGGCGCGAGCACGTGCACGTCGGAAGAGTTCGCTTCGACGAGCCTCGAACCTCGATAGAGAGCTCTGGCACCGCAAGAACCCGTTGTTTCACGGTAATTGTTTGGGCTAAGGCTTTTTTCGGGGGCCGGCATTAGTTCCGTCACGTGACGTGAGTCGACCGCGCCATCATTTGTCCGCCCTTTTGGGCTACTCGTGGACTGGTCACGGGGCGCGAGATTTTGCATTGAGATCTTCTTGAGCGCAGTCGAGGAATTCTTTTGCTTTTGCGGTTTGGTTTGTCTTTCACTACCGCGTAAAGTGTTTCGTGTATTGGTATTAACTGATGGGGATTGCTTGAATCGGTTGCAGTGTCGTACCTCATACATATTGGATTTTATTGAATACCTTTTACATATAATTTTAAATTGATATTATAATATTAGCGCAATATAATGGCGATTCTTTCCCGTAAAATTCGAATTGATTTGAATGTTTTTGTGGTGATCTGTAAAGTCAAATAGTTGAACAGGCGTTCATTTTCTTCTTGTTAGATGTTCCGATAATTTCGAAAATAGAAGTTATCGATCGTTTAGTATGTTTTGCGCAGTCGAATATACTATAAATACAAAAGATTCATAATCTATTGATACACCTTGCTATGTAACCCGTGTTGCAGGAATCACAATTTGTAAACAGACCAAAATAGACTGTTGAAGCGACAGTGAAAACATTATAACATATCTAATAGGGAAGCAAACATTAATGGATAACAGAAATTACACATGAATTGTTTTTCTCAATTTATGATTTTATTCAGCTGTAAGTATAAAAAAAAAAGACTAAGTGCGTAAAATCCAGTCAATTAGTTTCATATTCGCTCTATAAATATTTTTCATTCTTCGCGGATGATTCACGAAGCGTTCTCAGCGGTATACACAATGCTGCAGAGGTGTGCTGGTCTCGTATGTTTGTTAACAGAACACGCAAAAATCTGGTATGCATGAACACTCCAGGATAACTTCAATCGCGTTGCGATAAAGCTCGTATAATTATGTAATTATGTGTAACCGATTAGATTCACCAACTGTGCACGTGATGCGCCCGTAATTGATACAAGACAGAACAGCAGTAGAATCTGATTGAGAAAAAAAAAAGAAGAAACAGAAACATGACATCGTTTTCGAGGGAGAAAAGAGGAACGTATAATTATCGATGTTCGAAACGCACGTTCGACGGAATCGCGATAAGGAGTCGTTCATCGTGATTATCCGCGTCGTCAGCGAGCTGTAATAATTGGCCGAGCGCAAGCTAGGTCGGTCGGGTGTGTTTTCTTCAAGGTTAGTCGAAAGCCCCCGGCGCTGAGTGGGTCGGTGAGCTGAAAAATCGATACGTACGAAAGTGAGAGTCTCAGCCGTTCCACCCTCCCTTTTGTTCTTTACGCTCCTCGTCCTCTTCTTACTTGCCATTTGGTTCATTCATGTTGCGTTGCGCCAGGGCCGTGGTCTTCTTCGTTGGATCTCGCGATTTCGCGCGCCTAAAACCTACATAAATTAACGACTTCGATTGAACAATATAACCCATTATATCGCGTTAAATTATTGACTGTTGACAGTCAACCGAGGATTAGTAAATATTAATACAACTCATGTTTTCTGTTGAGCTAGTTAATAGTTGCAACAATATGGTATTCTTTATGCTTATTATTGAATTCTTTCTATGATTGTTAACCGTTAAGTACGGACGACTCGTTACATAGATCAATAATCCGATAATGACTACTTTGTAACACTTTTAACCCCTTGCCATACGCTTTCTTTTATGACTTCGCTCTCAAGAATTACTTTATCGTCAATATTTTCCCAGATACAAAAGGAATTCTATTCTCATAGCAAGTTTTACGTTAATTCTAAATCTTAAAAGTTAAAACCAGCGAACCAATATTTCACGTCGACTTAAAGAAAACGAATAATATACATGTTTACTAAATTCAATTTGAAATCGTTATCACGTGTCTGACTCGATGTTGTAAGGCAAGGGGTTAATAATCAATTGAAGGTTATGTTTCGTTACCGTTTTGAACATAGTGTGTCATTTACTGATAATTGAAAGTACTCAAACGCTGGAACTTCTAAAATTTTCCGCTAGATTGTGCCAGCGAAAGAAAAATTCAAATTCGTCTCCGAAACGAGTGGTTTGTAATTAAGTATTTCATATGAATAGTTAATATGACATCAACGATAGAGTTGTGGGATACATATTTTTCGAATTAAACAGTGGCACCTTATCGTATTCACTATAGGTATTTTTCAGATATTTCTGGAGACTGGCTTCTGTACCTATTCAGTTGAATGATTTATTAATCCAAAAATCTATAAGAGAATAAAGTATTTCTTAATCAAAAAGTGGAAGTAGCAGCTTTTAGAGAATTCATACAATAGAATTTTTATAGAAATAAAGCTAAAGGTAGATCATCTTCTATTGGGAGAAAGCAATTTATTCTGGCTCTGTTGACATTTCGTTCGAATTAAAAATTATTTTCTTCAAGAATTCAGCATCATTGTTTCGATCCATAGAGACGCCGTTTTATATAGTACCACCTAATAACAAAAAGTTCTTACCGTCTTTTTTGTTTAAAATAATTCCAAGGTAACAACTTCTAATTTTTCTAGACAATTTTATGAGAATGGGAAATGGACAAGAATGTACGATGTATTAAATAAAATGGAAAATTAAATATCGAATCTATTGAACAATCGAATCACGCTAATTTACACCTTTCATTTTAACTTTGTATAATTTTTATAATTTTTATAATTTTTATAATTTCCTAATTTTAATGTTTACGTTCTCTTTTTTCAGTGGTGCCGGAACCAAGATTCTCGTAAGCAATTTACCAAGTCACGCCAGATTGGAGGACATCGAGGTTTTGTTTGGAAACTGTGGTCAGCTGCAGTCCGTTGAGAGGCTGTCCACGCGCGACCCTAACACACAAACCGTTCTCGTTGTCTATGAGACGCCAGAACAAGCACAGCAGTAAGTAGAAGCTATCTTTTCCAGTGCCTTAACGGCAAGATCGTCAGTTTAATTTATCGTTCGTGATAATAAACACAGCTTCGTTATCGTGTTTTCTGTCGACCTTCTACTTCGATTTTAGTTTAAGCTATACCTTGTAAAAGGCAGAGTAGTACACGTTTTAAACAAAACAAAAATTTTTGAACCAGCAGTCTTACAGCTCAAAGTGTAAAACTCAGTTCTATTTGTCAATTAGTAGTCCTTCTACTTACAATCAATAGATCATTTATATCCTGAAAAAGTACACAGTTAATTATAGAAGTACCCACTTACCCTATACACGTAACGTATTTTACATATTTAATCAATGTTAAAAGTTCGAAAAGCTAATTGTGCGCAGTGTATGGTTAATATACTTTAGATCAGGATGCGTTTAATTGCGAGATTGCACATAGTTTACCTGAAAAAGAGTATCGTGATCGGTGAAAGTAATAACAGAACTCGAAATCAGTATTTACTTTAAACAAACTTATTTATAATGAATTAGTACTTTATTGGATATCCCTGATTTTGTGTATAGTATAAAGGAAATTATTACTTCAAAGTATATACTAACGTGTATTGTAACTTTTAATTGTCACTTTAACGTTGACTACATGTGCGAAATACGCACTGCGTATGACACGAGCTTTTACGAGCAAGTGTATCTAAGGGGATGGACATTATTCTCTTTCCATTTATTTCACCTACAAACCTAGTGCCGTTCGAATACTTTCATGATCTCTGCAGGGGTCTGGCGCGCGTCTCCATTCGAACATCTATAATTCACGGACATCTTTGCCATTTATAGGGCTGTGAACCAGTTTAATGGCCACGAGTACGAGGGTAACCCGCTAAAAGTGGAAATGTCTACGGCGGAGAGCCGACGAAGAGGCCGCAGCCAGCGCAGCGGCGTCGCCTACTCCGGAGTATCGGGTTCCGGAAGGCAGACCGACTTTCCGCTTCGCATCCTCGTACAATCGGACATGGTAGGCGCCATAATCGGTCGTCAGGGATCCACCATACGTCAGATCACTCAGATGACGCGGGCTCGAGTCGACGTTCACCGAAAGGACAATGTCGGCGCCGCGGAAAAAGCCATCACCATCTATGGCAATCCGGAGAATTGCACGAACGCCTGCAAAAAGATCCTGGAGGTCATGCAGCAAGAGGCTAACAGCATAAACAACAAGAGGTGAATAGGAGGGTCGCTTACATCCTCAAATGGAGATGACGCTTTAAGCCATCGACTACGCTTTAATTTGATTTGCTTTTACTTTCCTGTTCTATTAACTTTGCTTATACGATTTGTAATAGTTCTAGATAGAAATGTAATGCCGGGGTTTGGTCACAGATTTCTTCTTTGTTCTTGTTAACGATGTTTCCGTGTAATGCAAATGTTTCCTGCTCCAACAGCACCGAGATCACTCTAAGGATCCTCGCACACAACAACTTGATCGGCCGAATAATCGGAAAGGGCGGCACCACGATCAAGAGAATCATGCAAGACACAGACACGAAGATCACCGTGAGCAGCATCAACGACATCAACAATTTCAATGTTGAGCGTATCATCACAGTGAAGGGCACCATCGAGAACATGAGCAAAGCTGAATCCATGATCTCCAGCAAGTTACGGCAAAGCTACGAGAACGATTTACAGGCGATGACCGTGAGTATTATCAAGTGGTGGTGTCACAGTGAGAAAATGTTAGGAATCGAGGGATCGTAGAACTGAAAATAATTTCGATGGTTCTGTTACAGCCTCAAAGCATGATGTTCCCTGGTTTGCACCCAATGGCCATGATGTCCACGGCTGGCATGGGATACAGCTCACGTGGTCCCGCTTTGTATGGTTCCGGACCAATCCCATATCCCTACCAAGCCAGCTTGCCGACTCAACAGGGCGTACCTACCGCTGACACTCAAGAAACTGTCTTTCTTTACATTCCTAATAGCAGCGTAGGCGCCATTATCGGTACCAGGGGTTCGCACATCAGAAACATTATTAGATTCTCCGGAGCCAGCGTGAAAATTGCACCGCTCGAGCAAGACAAGCCAGCGGAGCAACAGACTGAGAGGAAAGTGACTATCGTTGGATCGCCAGAATCTCAATGGAAGGTAAGTGACCATAATACGAACGTTTCTTTATAGGTTTTTAAAATTATCCCTTCCATAATTGTGTATCCATTGATACGGTGAAATCTACGGCAGGCCCTTCGATTTAAGAATACTTTTGCTTTTAAACTCGTAGAAAGTGAATTTGAATTGAAACAATTGTGATCTTAGGCTATAACCATTAGAATTAACCCATTTGAAATTTCTATAACGCGGGTTGTGTCAAGTTATATCTTTAAAGCAGTAGGAGGTAGAAAAAATTGTCATTAGGAAAATTTATATGGTTTTGTGTGTTGCGTAATATGGTGCACGTGTCTGTGTCGGAAGTGGAGACATTGCGGAGATTTCATGGCCACCTCTATTTTTAAGACATGGAACTATATTTTTTATACACATTAAGTGATGTTTTTTTTATTCTCTTTGGAGAGGTATTAAGATAAATGTATCGAAAAATGATTGGCTGAGATTATTAATCACTTTTCTGTAATGGTAAGATTTTGACGTTTTGTGATCATTACTCATTTATTTATTTAAGCAATACGTAATTATGTCATTTATTTGCAACGTTTTTTAATATGTGACTAATCAATGCTTACAAGCATAATGAATTTGTTAGTAAACAGGAATACTTGTACAAAAAAAGGTCGAAGTGTGTAGCTCCAAAGAAAATGTAAAATTGTCATTAAAATTGTATCCTTTGAATTATTAATTTTTCAACGTAAGTACCCTAATAATGTTTTTATTGAGAATAAAAGCATATCAAATGATGTATCATAAATGTATAGATGTGTTATAAAAAATAGAGACCCAGAAATCTTTGAAATGCCTTCACTTTTGGAACAAACACGTGCCTCGTGTGATGCATCACAGGAAATCATTTAAATTTGCCTAATGAAATTTGTTCTTCCTCCTACCCTTTTGAAGGTACAGCTTGGCCCAGTTGTGTGACACCATGTACATTACTTATAATATTTATTGAGTTGGATAACTATCAGATAATTGTTTATTGATCTATTCCTTCATTTGAGAAACATGTTTATTCTTTTACATAATTACATGTAATTGTATGCATTAATTTTTATTTTTGGGAAAAGAAAATTTAATTATAAAGAACATGGTTGTGCAATAAAAGTATCATGACAGCTTACATATGCAGACTCATTCGAATTAGAGAGTATTAGTAAGACGCGGGTAGTATATGATACTCTACTTATTACTACAAAGGTAGGAGTCATCTGTGGCTCAGTGACTAAAAGTTAGGTTACAAATCTCCAGGTACTGGGCTCGAATCCCTGGCGGTCGAGAAAAAATTTCATGTCAGTTTTTATCTTTGAGGAAATACATTAAATCTCTTCTCCATTAGTACATGCAGAAATCCTGCTCTATTTTGGGTGGATGCTGTATCTCCGTAGCATTGACTTGAAAGAGCAGGGAAATTAAATCAATGAAGGTTTACCCGTACCAATGACACTCCGATAATCTGTGTACAGTTGGTCCCGTTGCAACCTTCAACAGCAGTTTTTTCTCTAACAGCTGCAAATATTGTTTTGAGCTCATTGGCAGAAGATATGTCAAACAACTCGTTTCGTTTTCAGGCACAATACTTGATTTTTGAAAAGATGCGAGAGGAAGGATTCGCTTCCGGTACCGATGATGTGAGACTGACAATTGAGATTCTGGTACCGAGCGCCCAAGTTGGTCGAATCATTGGCAAAGGCGGACAGAACGTTAGAGAATTGCAACGCGTAACCGGAAGTGTCATCAAGCTATCGGAACAGCAGTCTACATCCCCTTCTGTCGACGAAGAGGCCACCGTCCATATAATTGGCCCCTTCTTCTCTGTTCAGGTAACGTACTCCTTCATTACGTTTCCATTTTTTAACTCTTCTCCCGCCAGCCAACTCTATTTTCAAGTATAATTTACTTTTACCATCCGCAAGAATCAAGTTAGTGAATTTATTTTAAGTTGGTAAATGCCATTTAATTCAAAACTGTGTCTATTCATATTCTGTTCAGCTATAAGTAAACTCAGTTGAGAACGAACTTAAATAGTGCATTTTCGTTCACGAATACATTTTAAAAGCTTTAAAGAAATTTTAATCTGCTATTCAGAAAAATGATAAATATATTAGTATACCCAAAACGTGTACCCTAAAATCTACTATACTTTCGTAAATAATATGTTCATGTAAAATCATCTTATAAATGCATTCATCAACCTCTACAAAATTTTGTTTCGTCTATACATATATTTTGCTATTTCTTTTCATTAAAATAAAATCAACATAAGTTCTATATAGATAATTATATCATCTTTGAAGCGATCCATTAATCGTTTAATTTGAGTTCGTTAATTGGAAAAGAGTGTGCAAGTTCAACTGTATTTTTTAGCACTTCTTTGTTTTTTATTGATTTCAAAAATCTTACATTGAACTATATTATATTATAGTATTTGTAACGATTCTTCAGATCGTTGTTGTTCATTTTGAATTCTGTCTATACAGATCTACAGATATTTTGAAGCATCCAATAATTTAAACGTAAAATTACTCTTACAATAAGCATAAAAATAAGAAGAATCTGTTTTAACGATATAATGCTATTAACGATATACAATTGCAGAAAACGTGAAATCTGTTCGAGTTGAAGACGTTATTGCAATATAATCACGATGGCATAGTGTATCATGTCATTAGAACTTGTTGTTAACTTAAGAGATTAATGATTGCTGTCAAGCTTTTTCATTTCGGCGTTCATCGATAAGAAATCTATTAATTCACTTCCAAATCAGAATTAAAGAAGAAATTGTTAAATCATGTTATCAGTGATTGGTTACAGTTCACGATTGTACTTTGCTGTTATTAACCTGTTCATTAGTAGGTCGTCGGCTGTTGAGCGTTGGGTCTAAGAAACTTACTAAAGAGCCGCCGTTTACCAATATGCTGAAAATCCTATTACATGAAATTTTCGATGAGTGTTCGAAGGCTCCTCGGTGGTACTGTCAGGGAAAGGTCGTCAGGTGTAACGTTGACTTTTTAATGAGGTTTAGCACAATGATGGAGCTTGGAATTCTGAAGCCAATGATATTTGTTTCAGTCGCATATGGCTATGAGTTTATGAAATATATAATGTTCAGTGTCGAGGAGCCTTCGAACACTCATCGATGATTTACTGTACTACATCACCGGCCTCGAAACTGTTACCATATAGGCGGTCGACGAATGGCGTCGATGCTAGGAGATCGATCAACCGTTAACCATGGTATTAATTTTGTTTCTCGCGCGTTCACAGTCGGCACAGAGAAGAATCCGCTCTATGGTCCTGCAGCCCGGTACATCTGGAGCGGGTGCTGGCTCGCGCGCTGGTCGTGGTAGCAGCCAGGAGGGCGGTCCTCGTAGCAGAAGAGATGACAGTGCCACGTCTCAGCAGGGCGGCACGACAACGACACAACAGCAGTCAAGTTCATCGCCATCTAGCCAGCAGCAGCAACCGCAAAATCAGTAACGTCACTGAAACTTTACCTGACGCCGACCAACGCCTCACAGAATCCGTTTTATTCGCCGGGGTGGCCTCGTCGCTTTGACATTCTCTCGTCTACGAGAGGCTACGTGCCACAACCTCCTTCTCGCGAGGCACGTGACCTTTGAGATTACTCGCGGAGCGGCCGAGCGATGCGCACATTGCATTCGTGCTGGGCACACGCGAGACCTTACCATCGATATGTCAGCATGTCACGCAATAATAGCCCATATTCATCAACAGCATCCATTTGATTCAGAGGACGCGACGGGTCGGACACACGGCAGGGTACACGATCGATGGCGTTTCTTTCCGTCTTCTTTCCATTTATTTTTTTCTTTCTTTTGTTTATTTCAATTAATTCGTACGAGCACATCGAAAGTAGTGATGTTTCGTGTAAACACATAGCGAAGTAATCGTTTTTTTTTTCTTGTATTGTCAGTTCTCCAGACGGGGAACAAACGAAAAATCATCATTGTTCGATCATCGCCATCGACCGTGACCACCTAGCATCGCGTCGCCATTACACCACTTTTCGAGCAACTCGCGGCTCGAAGCGCGGACAGGCGTGCGAACGCGACGCGAGCACCGTGTGCTACGAACCAAATGGAAGAAGCGTCTTCTAGAGAAAACGTGTCACGCGCGAGACGACGTGAGAGAGTGAGAGAGAGTGAGGGGAAGCAAGTTCGTTCTCTGCCGCCCGCGTCCTTTTCTTTTACGAGCAGACTAAACGGTATAGAAGCTCGACTCACCTGCGCCCGAAATAAATCCACATGAAATACACTCAGGATACACGCATACAGACAGGATATACGCAGATCGTTCTCTCACCTCTTCTACGCGCGGTCGCGTGGCGTTTCGTCGCGAGCTCGCTCGAATCGGGGGTCGAAGCGACGGGTGAGACTCGGAACGAATCGATTTTGCAGCGTTAAAACGAAACCACCTCGTCGATGAAACCGGATCTATAGAATACGATGATAAGAAAAAAAAACAAAGCATACACAACCTTATTACCTCATTCATTAACGGTTAAAGATTAACTAATGATAATGAAAAGCGAAACGAGAGAAATGATAAAAAACCAACTAATCTAAAGAGAAAAAAACGATGAAAGAAGTCTACCTACCTAATATTAAAGTTATAATAATATACAGAGAGAGGGAGAGTGAGAGAGAGAGAGAGAGAGAGAAAGAGAGAGAGAGAGGATAAGTAACGATTACACATTACGTTATACATGTTACTACTACTGCTAATAAAACTACTTACTATTACTGCTCACCTCCCACCAAGTACAATACGGGCAAGCGCGAGTCTCGTTGTTACCAGAGTTGCAAATGAGGGCGTCACCGTGCGGCACGCAATTGTCAGCTCTGGCGACAACGCGATTCATTCCGCCATGTTGTACCACCACGGGTAGGTGATTTTTTCTTTTGTTCTGTTGGTTACGCAAATACACACACACACACACACACACACATACACACATACACAAAAAAGGAAAAAATGGTACTCACCTCAGGGTACAGATCTTTTATACAACACACAATTCAGAGACAGTTGCAGAACAGAGAACGATAATGAATAACAGAACTCTAAATCGATATCGAGAGAACGCAAACGAAAACGGTCTACAGTTGTTTTTAGACGTAAGCCAGGAAAGATTTGCAAAACAGACGCTCCTCAGCTCCCCCGCTTGTCCGTGCCCCCTCCCCCCTCTCCCCCGTCTCGCGCCGTTATAATACCAAAGAAGCGATTACGAGTTCTTTTCGTATTAGTGAAGAGAAGATGACGGGTGGCAGCGCGCGCGCGCTTGCGTGAGTGTTTGGTCGAGCGCCCGCGCCGCGCCGTACTCGCCTCAAGTTCCTTGCAAGAGCCAACAGCGAGAGGGGGTGTGTGGTGGTGGTCAGAGGGACGCCGTGTGCGCGCGTCCACCGGTGAATCGACGAATGGTGTTATTGAGGTCGGGCACGCGGCTTGCAACGCGGAAGGGAGAAGCGGAGAAGCGAGATGATGAAGGAAACCGACGCAATTGTCAAAGAGAAATAACTGAGAAACGGCATCCGGGTCGCTTTGGCCGAGGCAGTGAGATGATTTGATCGGCATCATATTAGACGGGACCGGAAGGAAGGGAGGGGGGGGGGGAACTAGCATAACCTCCGGACAGCGGTTCTGTGAAAATACAGTTTGTTTTTTTAAAAAATAAGCACGCGAGAAGATGGCCGTGCTACGTTTTTCGTGCGACGAGAAGGACGTTCCAGAGAGAGAATGAAAAAGCGACCGTTCAGGGCGAAACGCTCGAAGATTATATAATGGTGTTGCGACGCGGTGTACGACCGCGAAGCGAAGACGTACAGGGAGGTCAGATGACACATGAGACACGAGGGAGAATGGGTTTAATAAGGCAAAGCGACAAAACTTTTTCAGGGATTTTTACTTTACCATGGATGTAATAGTGTGTGAGTGTGCGTGTGTTGAATAATACTATTAATTGATAAGCGATTAATTTACTGATTAAGCGTATATAGACGGCAAAGGGAAGCGCGAGATTTAGGCTTATCGAGGAAACTAAAGGAAACACGGAGGAACCGCGCGCGGCCTAGAGGTGTGGAGAACGGTGGTTTCTTGGACGCGGGAGTGTGTACAGTGCCGTGAAACGAATCGTGCAGTCACACACGGTGAGGAATCGTGGAAGACGTTGCTCGGTGCGATGCACCATGTTGTATCTTAGGGTTCCATGACGTCGCCGTTCTCCGCCTCGCGACCGCGCGAACACGTGGATATCGTCAGCGAGTTGCTACAACGACCGATCGAGAACGCGATTTTTTTTTCACGAAACTCAATCTCTCGATAATCTTTTTGTAAATTCTATAATTTTTTCTTCTTTTCTCCTGTTTTTTCCTCTTCCTGTATTAATTACGATAGATAATGTAGTTGGTATAGAGGTTAAGGTATATAAATATGCGCGTGTTCAGTGCCCGTCGATAGCAACTCGCAGCGATATTGCGACTCCGTAATCACGCGTATCGTTCCGCTCGTTTTATTCATTCTTAGCTCGGGAAAATGCGCGAAATCCGTTCATTTGGGCCTGAACCGTTGATCGGTGGAATCTGAAGACAACAGACACTCCTATCGATCGTTTAAGTCGAAGCTCAATTGGCCGTCGTTCGTACATTTATCCAGTGTCCGAGGACCGATCGAATGAGCCGAGCGATAAGTATACCGTCGATCGCAACAATTCTGAACGAGGATGATCGAGGAATTGGTCTTTTTAAAAGGAAACTTGTTACTAAAGAATTTAAATCGAGAAATAAAAGTATTCGCGTACCGCTCGCAAGGGAGCGATGTTCCAGCCTCGACGGAATTTACACGCGATCGATCGGGGGCGAGACTCGTAACTTTTAAGTTCTGGTTTTAAAGGAAAATCCAATCGAAATCGAAAAGATCGATCGCGTATGAAACTGACTAGGAGCTTGAGAACACAGTGAAATCTGACCGAACGGGCTGCCAGTACCCGTTCGATGATCTATAGGAGTGACAAAGATATGAACAATCGAAAAATTGACGGACTGACGAGAGACGTCCGATACCGTGCCACGAGGAGTTTACCCCATGAAATCGAGCATTCGTTCTCCTCATTCATCTGATGGATGTACAACACACACTCGATTATAGCTCGGCCATTGACCGTTTGTAATTCCGTGTTTTTTGTGTTTTAAAATCAATCGATTGAAATAGTTGCGTCCTCTCCACCGGCAAGAGGAGTGTCTATATCTCCATTCGGTAGTTTTCGTGGCACGTTATCGTTGCTCAACCAAGAACGTGGAACTCCGGTTTCGGGGTTCGCGTCCACACGGCGGAGAGATCACTTCCGGTCCCCACCTCCCGTGACGCGGGAAGGACCGGATGGTCAGCTGCCGGCGTAATTCACGGCATTCGGTATGCGTTTAGTACAAAAATAGACGAGTTTAAGAAGTTGGGTGGGAGAGAAAAGAAAAAGAAAGATAATCCAATTTTCTGAGTGAAACGTGTAGGACA